GGATATTTGATGGTTTTTGGTGTGAAGTTGGTAACTTTTCTTGTTTGAACTCAATCTTGATTTGAATTTTTTCTTTATGGATTTCTTTGGTTATTAGTTTAAGTTATTGATTCTTGAGAGGCCAGGCCTAAAAGGCTCTTGTTATCTTTCAATCTTGTGAGTAATTTGGGTGATTAATTATTTAAAGTGTAGAGTGTCTAGCTTGTTCTAATTGTACTTGGAAAGATGCATATTGAGGAACTGAAGGAGGGGGAATCTGATAGAGAGGAGGGACAAGGTTGTGGTAATTATAGAGAAGGTAGGATTGTTGTTTTGGATGCAAAAAGGGCTTTGGTTGGGGCAGGTGCTCGTGCTCTCTTTTATCCAACCTTGTTGTACAATGTTGTGAGAAATAAGATTGAATCCGAGTTCCACTGGTGGGACAAAGTTGATGAGGTACGCACATATTGGCAAAACACTCAATTATTTACATGTTTTAGTTGTTTCTAGTTTCAAAATCTGGTTTGCAAAAACTTGTTTAAAGGACTTAAGTTGATAATCAGGTATGCTTGTTAGTCTGTTTGTAATGGATGATGTATTCATACGCTTGCTAACAAATTAGGCCAAAGGTAGGATCAATTTTGTATGTGTCCTAATAACGATGTTGTTGGAATGATGCTAGTGTGATTAATTCTTTTAAGGCCTTGACTTTCAGAAGTATTATTTTGATTTTTGGATACGGTTGGCTTTATTTACAATTTGCATGTGGGCTGGAGTTTTCCAGGTTTTACTAAAATACAGTCAAATTCCGCAGCTTGACCTCTTCCTAGTACTCTTTCTTTCATTTAATAAAGGCTTTTATGGTTCATATTATATGTGATCTTTCTTTTTTCCTCAGTATAGACATAGCTCAGCATTACATCTTTCTGCTGGATACTTTGAAATTTTAATTAACTACAGTGATATTGATTTGACATGGACATAGACTTGCTTATTCTGTAAAATTCAGTGAGATGTTTCTGCCTTGGTAAGCACAACTGAAATTGCATTTGGATAGCTTTGAGTGAGCTTGTACTGTTGAAACTTCAATTGTTCACCTCCTCAGAAACAGAAGAAGAATAAATAAATATAAATAACCACCTTGTAATTTTTGTGCACAGCTTGAGATTAATTTGGAGAAGTCATATTTCAAGGCTTCACTCTTGAGACCATTATGTGAAAAAAATACGTGTAGAGCTCTTTTCCTGGATACTTGGACACAGGAAAAGTAGATAGGCAGTGATTTTGTGTTCCTATCCTTGAATGATGGGTAGGTTTGGATAGATTCTCAGATGATTACTGTAGTTTGCTGACCTCAAATATGGTTGAAGTATCTCTTGGCCCAGATTGAGATGATGACAACATTCTTAGTTTCATAAGTTTGGTTCTTTAGAATGAAAAATATGTTAAATGTGAAATTGTTATCTTATTTGACATTGTCGTTATGACTGCAGTTCTCATTTCCTTGTATCATCAGTTTATTTTGTTAGGAGCTGTTCCATTTCCTGCTGATGTTCCTCACTTGAAAGAACTAGGTGTCTGTGGAGTGGTTACCTTGAACGAACCATATGAAACATTGGTCCCAACATCGTTATATCATGTAAGCTTAAACTATTTCGCAGCTCTTGCATGAATTTCTTACCTTTTCCATTTTTCTGATTGTGAAAAAAGGAAGGAAGAGATGGTCACCATAGTTTATAAGTAATCAAAGTTGTGGGTGTTACAAAGAATGCTCACATGCCATACTAGGTCTCTATGCATAAATTTGGCCCTTTCTTCCTTTGTGCTGATAAATGACGACACAGTTTAGCTTGGTTATTCAACTTATGTATATAAGAGTTAATCTGCATTCAGTTTTGATTTACCACTTCCCACTACTCTAAACTTTGTTGGTTCAAGATCACTGCTTTAATTACCTTATCATCTATGATGATGAAAGACTTGCTTTTTGCTGTAGGACCATGATATTGACCACTTGGTAATTCCTACAAGAGATTATCTCTTTGCTCCAACAAATGATGACATTTGCCAAGCTGTGGACTTCATCCATGGTAAGTATGTTTTTACTGTTGTTTGAAGATTTTCTGAAGTTAACCATTCAGCCTCAAATTCTCGAATTTGATGTTGTTTAAGCAGTGGAAGATGTATGCTGCATCATTCTCTCCTGTTCTTCCTTTCAAAAACTTAGAATGAACGTTCTAGATTTTAACATTTAGGTGGAAGAAGCTGCTTAAAATAGTTGACATAAGTTGGTCTTTAGTTTTCAGTTTTTTCTTCTTCTTGGCAGTTTTTGAACTTTCAATTGTCAGATTAAATTTTAATCGCATATTCTGTTCCTCATTATCTCCCATCTCTGATGTGAAGGAAATGCATCTCGTGGGAAAACCACCTATGTTCACTGTAAGGCAGGGCGGGGCCGCAGCACAACCATTGTCCTTTGTTACATGGTAGGCACTAGATTTTCAGATCTCATAAATTATTGACTTACTTTTGATGAGATTTTCTTCCTTCGACCGTCCCCTTCCTTTACTTCTTGCTGATAATGATTCTCTCTCTACAGGTTAAACATAAGGACATGACACCTAAAGTTGCATATGAACATGTGAGGTCCATTAGGCCAAGGGTGCTATTGGCCTCTTCTCAGCGGCAGGTATCACCGACTGATTGCCATGGTGGTATTTGAGATGCTTGCAAATGGCTTTTTCTTTTGAACTTATAGTATTATGTTTGGTTTAATGTCAAACTGCAGGCTGTTGAGAATTTCTACATCCATCTGAAGAGAACTGAAAATGACATCTCAGTGGTTGATAGATCACCAATATCTATTTTAGGTTTCCCAGCAACACTTGACTCTTCAGCTTTTGATGATGGATCTGTTGTTTTAGTGACCAAATCCGACCTTGATGGATATGATGAAAGTCACGAGTCAGGTGTAGTGGGTAAGAGTATTATGGCTGAGTCAAACCTAGCATGTAGATTTCAGTTTGTTAGTCAGGCAGCTGTTGCCAGGCTTTCGTGTCTGTGGGTTCGTTCTCAAACAGGTGAGAAAGTGTCAAAGAAGCTGGGAAGCTCCATGACAAGCAGTCAGCTACAGAGTATTGGTGTTGACATCCATGTTTATTAAGAATGTCATGTGCCAGTCAGAGAAGTTGAAATCGTTTTTTGCCTCTATTTTCTGGCCTTAGGTGGCAAAAATAAAATGGTTAATAGTAACAGGTTTCCCATCGGCCTTTTTCTTTCTTGTAAGTTTCCGAGTCCGGAAAACTATGTAAAATCTGTTTCTATATGAGATGGTATTGGTTTGAAAATTTGAGGCTTTGCTTTGAACAGTATAGACATGAAATTTTGTATCTTAGGAGAGTGTACATGGAATTGTAGATTGGCTTCCAACTTGAAGTTAATTCTAGCCATCTGCTATGGATGGATTTGACATTGAGGAACCCAAGACGATGTATTAAAGACTCGGAGCTTGCTCTTCAGGTTTATGGGCTTTCCTGTTTGGAGGCAGGGCATTCCAGCAGCCTGCTGGCAATCACAACTGAGTCTGTTGGCAAGCTGATTCCGACCTGTCTGAGTTTCCAAATTTTGATATTTTTGCCTCTTTGAAACATTTTTGAAACTGTTGATGTACACTTCCATTATGATGTTTCTTCATCATCAGCCCCCGGTGGCATGGTATTCCCCAGATTGTGTTTTGTTATCGTTTGGTTTCCTTGGTTTGCATGTACAAGAAGATGACACCATTCCCACCACGGAACCAAATCAGAAGCGTACGCTTCCTGGACTGTAAAGGGTCCGGAAAGTGAGCCATTTGTAGACATGGAAAGGGGAATATTTTGCACCTCCAGCATATTCTAAGCGTATCTTCATACCGCTTTCCCATTTTTTCCTCTCCACTTTGCACATTTTTGTTGTAGAACTCATAGGACAGGTAATGCAGTTTATATAGCCTAGCATATGATTCCACAACTTGGTTGGTTATACTACAGGATTTTGGATAGTTACACCTGCAATTGTATGCAACAGTTATTATTGTCGATGGAATTTTTTCCATTTGCCCATGTCCAAATAAAAAAGATTAGTCGTCAAAATAGGAAATCCAAAACAGGTTAGTGATAATTGTAACATTTTCTGTCTATCTTGTATCTACTGAAAATCTAGGAGGATAAACAACAGCATTTGTTTCCACCCTGAATGGGCACTTGTTGAGGTTGACCACCAAAATGTCTTTTTAGTTCTTAAATGCATAAGATGCGTAAATGTTAATTTAGTATTTTTCTTTTTCATCATTTATTTTAAAGGGGATTAATACTGATTCCACACTAACCTTTTGATGAATCATCGAATTCATGATCTGTTGCTTACAGGCGGAGTATCTTATCAATTAAGTTGCGCTTCATTATCTAAATGTCAATTTAGTGGAATTTAGCTCTAACAACAATAGTGGTAGCATGGACAAGTTTGCTTCAATGTTTACGGGCGGAATATCTTATCAATTAAGTTGCGCTTCATTATTTAAATGTCAATTTGGTGGAATTTAGCTCTAACGGCAATAGTGGTCGCTTGGACAAGTTTGCTTCAATTTATTAAAGATTAATCTTTTATAAACCGTCAATGTATACACTATCACCATTAGATATATCACACATGTGCAAAATTTGAATTTGAAATTTAAAATTTGCTCATATGTCATACATCCAACTGTGACAGTGTATATACTGACAATATATATATATAAATTACTCATTTATTAATAAAAGAACAAGGAAATAGATTCCATTTAATAAAAAGAAAATGTAATTTGCATTCTATTTTTTGTTATTCGTATTTATACTACTTATTTTATCATATAGTTTGATGAATGAAAACTATATGATTAAAATGTTAGTAAGAGAGTCATTAACAAAAATGGAAGTGCAATTATTTCCTTGTCAAACAAAAATTTCTTGGCTATGACCAACCGACCTGCTGATGATAAAATAAACTGCTTTTACTATTTCTGAGCTCAAAGCAGTTATCTTCAACTGAACTCTCCGTCGTCCTGCGAAAACAAGAGGTCAAAGCAGTTATGCCGGGCAGAGTCTGAAGGCTTCAATTTCTTGACTTGAACAAAGCCATGCTGCTGCTCTGTTCTCCTCTTCGTGCAAAGCTCTCTTTTTCTGGCAAGTCTCTTTTTTCCCTCTCTCTTTCCCTTGTGTAACAAATTCACAGACAGACAGACAGACAGAGACATATTGACATGTACTATGTGACCCGAAATTTAGATTATCAAATCTTTGAACTGTTCAAGAAATTGGAGTAGAGAAAACCCATAAATTATGCCTTAAGTCCTCATGAATATCTTGTTTGTTGCACATTTTAATGCTTCTATAGTATTTGCCACTCAGGACGGAAATTACACCTCAATTAAATACTCACAGCTGTTTTTGTAATTACAGCATTTATGCAGCTTTTGGGAAAATTGAGCTGAAATAGGAGTGCTTTTATACGAAATGTAGCCATCTTTTACTATATTCTTATGTACCTGTACAAGATTAATTGACTTTAATTTTCATGAACGATAACCATCCTTGACTTAATTTATCCAGCTCAGAGGTTTGAGGCCCGAAGGACCAGCGCAAGGCTTTTTAGTTTTTATTGTCATTTAGTTTAGTACCTCTTAAGAAGTTTTTCTTGTCTTGGATAATAAATGTCTGACACTGCTTGAGGTCTAAATGTCCTAAATTTTTTTCCTTTTCTCGTTTTTGGTACCTTAACTTCGGGAATATCAGCTATTGTGGTATCAATTTCCTGTAAAAATGGTGAAATGGAATAGGGGTAAAGGGTTCCCATAATCCTTTCATGAGTTGGTATCATAGTCTTCAAGCTCAATTTGGTCTGGTCAAATTTTTTGGCATAGCTTTTCGGTTGAGTTTTTCTTGTTGCCTGTATGTTTAACTCCGTGCCATCTGCTCCTAAAATGGTCTTGGAATTAATTTCTACATGTTTCACATAATCTATGCCAATTATATGCTAAGAATTTGTCTTGATAATGTGAAAGCAGACAACTTTAAGCAGTAATGCTGAAATTTGCCATTTATTGAATGTTTCCTATGAGGAGACTACCCATATATTGAAGATGACACTCATTATGAACTTTATACTTTTAACTGAGAAATGTAACTGGCAGTAGATAATATTTTTCCCTGTTTTCATTTTTTATCACGGAGTCATCAGCTTTTCTTGTTATGACCAGTAAAAGTTTTTAATTTGTTTCAGAGACTACTCTTTTTGCTTGCCAAGCTCGAGGAGTATTTTCCACCCAGAAAATGTTCAGAGTGCAGTGCCAGGCTGGTAGCTACCTGCAAGCTCATCGGTAGGTCTAGTAGTTCTCAGCATTAAGTTTGGAATTCTGACGAACTTCATGCATTAGTTGATTTTGTTGCTTATGATATTGTCTTCGCATGGGTAGAGAAGAGAACAGAAATGTCTTGTGTTCGGAGGAGAACTTGAGGAGGAGAAATCTTCTACTTGTTCTAGTTACTTCAAGCATACCTCTGGCTTTTCCATCTTATGGAAAGACAAAAGGTAAAAACCCATATGATGAAAAACGTTTGTTAGAGCAAAACAGGCGCATACAAAAAGAAAATAATGCACCTGAAGACTTCCCAAATTTTGTCAGAGAAGGTTGGTACTTTAATTCAGTTTTCCTTCTTGTTCTTCTTTTTTCTCCCATGGATGTTGGGTTTCAAAAGTTGTCTACTAGTTGTTTAGGTAGTTTCACAATGTTGCAAAGTAGTTAATTTTGTTGCTCGATCTGGTACAGGATTTACTGTAAAAGTTGTGGCATCAGAGAATTATGTAAAGCGTGACTCAGGTCTTGTAGTGTGGGATATTGCTGTTGGTAAAGGTGATTCTCCAAAGGCTGGTCAGCAGGTTTTCCTTTTGTTTTACTTTTACCTAAAAGAGCTGGTTTGATTTTGCATGAATATGAGCGGACTCTGATAAAAGAAACAGCTAGTGAACCAGCATTCTGCTTCAGTTTTATTTAGTTTTTCTACTTCCATGTTTGAAAGTATGAACTTCCCAACATGCTGATGGAGTTTGACAATTCTAGTAGAAAAAACTTGCTTTGACGTATTTGAAATTTCATGCTGAGTTTGACAATTCTAAGAGGGAAAAGAATGTGCCTTGACTTATTGAAACTCATGTTTGAAAATTGAACTCTTCACTAAGCTGATAGAGTTTGACAATCCTACAAAGAAAAGAACTAGTTTTGACTTATTTGAACTTCACTTAGGATGGAGAAACTTTTTATTTGTTCTCCTTTGGAAGACTTGAGCTTATTCTTGTGATGCTTGAGTTAATTGGTACGTTGCTTAAAGTTTTTATTACCACCAGTTATAGACGTCAGTCTGCCAATTTCTTTTTGAGCTTTTCCCTACTTGTCATTCTGATAACCTGTGCTGAATGTATTCTCAATGGGCATAAATTGTAACCTAGAACACAACCTCCTCCCCCCCCCCCCTTCTTCAACACACCTTCTGTTAGTTTCCAACATGTTCTGAACGGGTATAAATTGTAACATAGAACACCCTCTCCCCCACTCCCCCAACACACCTCCTGTCAGTTTCCAACATGTGATTTCTTAGCATATGAACAAGTGATTATTTTGATCTGCAAGGGAATAAAAGGCAATCTCTACCTTAAAAGCTGGCATCCTTAATTTAGGGAAAGATTTGAAAAATGGTACACCTCAGAAGTTGAATAAAGTGTTCTATGCTATGATTTTTATGTTATATGAGTGGAAACGGGCACATTATTGGTGCTCTCTGTCTGTTTGTGTGTGTGTTTTTCAGCTTTGTTTTAATTTGTAGTGAAAGGTGCACAAATTTGAATGTCAAAATGAAGTTGGAAAATATTAGGAAAACAAAAATAAGGAAATCGATATATCTATTAAGGCTACATTAACAATGTCTAATAACATCTATGTGAAAATCTGAAAGGTACTTAAACTGAGGTCCCCTCTCCCTGTTTGTGGCAGGTGACGTTTCACTATGTCGGTTATAATGAGTCAGGCCGCCGCATTGACAGTTCATATGTACAGGGTACTCCGGCAAAAATCCGAATGGGTACTAATGCATTAGTTCCAGGTGAAAATGAAGATAATTATATTTTCTTTTTTCTTGTTTTCTGAAGTATGAATGAGCTAGGAGCTAAAATGGAGAAAACCTGACACAGGTTTTGAGGAAGGAATCCGGGACATGAAACCAGGTGGAAAAAGGAGAATTGTAATTCCCCCAGAACTAGGACCGCCAGTAAGTGTCAGTTATGCAGTTGACATTTTATTTTGTTGGTTGAATCCTTTTCCTCTTCCTTCTCTTTTTCAGTTCACAATGTTTTTTAGTTGTTCATTGTTCTTATGTGTAAAGGTGAACAGTTGGGATGTAGGATTTGGCTCCACCTTTTAATGCTGACGAAGTGTGAGATGCTTCCTTAGTTTCTTCACCTTTTAGTGTACTGTTTGGATGGTTTTTTTTTTTGTTTTGGTGTTTGTCTAAAACTTTATTGTAGCTCACTTTAAAATTTTTACAAAAACCTTTTGTGTATTTAGAAGTATTTGGAGGGTAGTTATAAAATTCCGTCACCTTCCATGCACTGTTCACCGGGCCATGACAGCCACCAGCAACCACCCGCCACCCTCTCTTCTTTCTCTTCTTCTCCCCACCACCGCAACCACGTCCTCCTCCTCTTTCTTTCCGCTGCCACCCCCCTTTCTCTCCTCTCTTCCCTAGCCCCCCACTGACAAGAAAGTGGGGGAGCAAGGAGGGAGGGGGAATGGAGGAGGAAGAGAGGCGGTGGCTGCAAAAAGGGAGAGGAGGAGGTGGTGGTGGTGGAAGTGAGGGGGAGAGTAGTGGCGGGCAGCGGTGGTGGAGAGGTGGGTGGCAACAGTGGCAGCAGTGGTGGGCGGAGGTGAAATGGTAAGGGAGAGTGGTAGTGGAACAAGGAAAGAGGTGTGTGTTTTTGGTATTTTGGGGTTGATTAAACTTGGGGTGTTTTAATAAGTTAGCGACAGTTTTTAATAAAAAACAAGCAAAAAACCAGCCTACCAAACGCCATTAGCAATATCTGAGGAATTGCTTCACTTGGTAGTCTTTCCCTTGTTCCTCTAGCATCTGTATATGCTAGTAAAGGAACAATCTGAAAAAAAGAGTTCCAATGGGTGTAAAGTGTCCTTTAAGACTTTCATTAAAATGTGGACATTTCAGTTAATAAATCTCTTTAATGCCATTAGAAAGTTCATCAATCCCAAGTAGAAACCTTTTTAGAGCCCTAGATAGCAAACACCATGTGGCTTCAGTTTGCATTCACATTATGTTGAACTGTTAATGATGTTGGAGGTTTTCGTTTGTTTGTAACTAGCTTAAATTGCTCTTACTTCCATAGCAATTCAAATGCCAAGTTCTGCAAGAAAATATTTGCTAAAAAACTTCTGCTTTGTCATGAATTTCTATGTGCGTGTTGAAAACTACACGTCACCTTTATACAAGCTTTAGTGGCAAAATGAGTTAGGTTGACTTTCATCAATTTTAATTACAACGTAGTGGTGCTATGCATTGTACTCTGTTCTCATTGCTCACAGAATGTTCTGTGGATGCCTGTGCAGCCATTTGACACTAAACATATTTTTATTTTTTTAATTGGAAAATTTTTAGGTTAAATGGGTTCCTTAATTCTGAGTAATTAGCAGAAAAAGATTGTTTTGCTTTGATTCTCATTCTACTCATTCTTTTCTGTCTCAGAAATTCTGTTCCAACATTATTGTTTCTACCAATGATGATGTTATTACTTGATACTCGTTTACACAGGTAGGACCTTCCACCTTTTTCAGCTCAAAACAATTTGAGGTTTTTGATGTGGAACTGGTTAGCATTCAAGATTGCACAAGGAGGACAATTGGTTTTTACTCCGATTTTGTTTGTAATTGAATGATGAAGCTTTTCCTTCAAATGTTGGTGGTATGTTTCCTTTGGACATTGCACAACCGATAAGAAAAAGAGGTTCCTGACACCGTGGGTATAAAAGGTGGCATGCGGGCAAACATTAGACAGCACGATAGGGTGCTTAAGACCTGTTCGTATGCCAAGCCGGACCCATTTTTCAAGGTTTAGCTTTAGCTTGTCCCTAGCTACCCCTGTCAGCTTATAGTAGCCTATATTCCTTGTTTTACCATGTGTGTAGACATAACCAATTCATGCATCCACCTATATAATGGACACACCTGAACAAACACACACGTATACATCCGCATCCACCTCGCTCACATTATGTGCTTTCTGACCCAATAAGCATAGTGCAATTAACCTTGTTGCTTCGTTCTTTTTGGGACTTGGAATTTGGAAATGTGAAAGTGAGGTTGCCAAGCTCCGGCTGCAGGCATTCAGCTACACACACTTCCTGGGAGCAGGATGGACTTTGAAGTTGAATGATTTAGTTACCTGTATCATCCTCCATGCAATACTCTCCATATATTGAAATGGCCCCAGGACATGGCTGCTGCTTCTTCATCCTTTTTTAGAGTTTCTCTGTCCATGTCAGTATAATCATAGTGTTCTGTCTGGGTTTGTCCTTCTGGATGCTAACTGTGGCCTTGGCGTTCTCAGAGTATGGGTAACCAGCTTCAGTCCACTTTATAGAGATGTGCAATAACAATTTGAGCAAGGCAGCCACACGGAGGGACAAGCAACCAAATTCAGCTATCCAAAACATGTGATTTTAACATATGCATTGCAGCAATAATTCCTTTTCAGACAGAGGGCATCTCAAAATATTCGGTGTGAATTCTATCACCATTGACAGTTTTTATAGTTTCAGAAACCCGGCAAGCATTCGCAGACTACATCCAACAAGGGAGTGGACAAGATTGACTATAGATCATATCATAGTTATATTCGCAACACATACAAGTATTTACAAAACCTGTTGAAAATGACATGGGACTTCACTTGTCCATCCATTACAGACAACAGAAATAGCATTTGAGGCCATCAGCTTAATTAGCATACTGGCAGTCAGGAGCAAGAAATTTTCCAGAGTAGCTCGAGTACGGCATACGCTGCACAGCCTTGGATCCTTGGGCACAGAAGGCAGGACTGCCAAAATTGACAGATCTCTTCGGCTCCTCTGTTGGGCCATAAAAACATCCCTCCCTTTGAGCTAGTAGAGTACGTAGAAGTGTGGTCAGTGCTTTTAAAGGAGATCAAGAAGCCTTTAAACGAGTGAAACTCCCTGTTCCTGCAAAAAGAAAAATTAAATATTAAGTGTACTTTAAGTGAATAAACATGATAAAGATCAAAGATTTAAACCAGTGATATATGGAATTAGCATATTTTTCATCCTAGAAATTTCTTAATATGAGAATGATTGCAGTATATCGAAGATAACTAACAAGGGCCGCTCATTTGAAAGTTATCCTATAATTTTTGGAGTTTATTAGCCTTATCAGCCCATCACGGTTAAAGTTTATGAATGTCTTTTAGTTTTGGTATTGTGTTTCTTCTCGTGGCCCAATAGAACTCTTTCGGGCTTCATAAAACTCCCATGTGTTATATTACATGTGTAGCCAAGATCTCATACCGAATCTTTTCACATGATTTTCACGAATGAATAATGTTCCTTCTCATTTGTCCATAGAATAGGTAACAGAGTAGCTCATAAATTAGCACAATTTGCTGTTACACTTGTGCATGATGTTAGCTGGGAATTAGATTCCACCTGTGGCTTAAAGAATGTGCCCAGGAAGATAGGAGAGCAATGGCTCTATTTTGTAACTGGTCTTGGACTGTCAAGCTTTAAATGGAATGAAATTGCAGATTGACCAAGAAAAAAAAAATGAAGAAGAAGATTTTCACGAATGAGTGTAAACCCAGCTTGTGAACGGATTCCTTGATGATGCCAAGTAAAGCTGCAACATGGTCTTACAGGAAGCAAGACAACTAAGAGCACAGTAAGAATATCATAGATGGTTGATGCAAATTCCATCTGCTATGCATTCCGGCTTAAGCTAGAAAATCAAGAACACATTGTTTTCTCACAGTGAATAAGAAGATGGAAAACTACCACGCAAGCAAGTAAACAATACTTCACCTTCTGCACAAAAGATAAAATAGCAAATCTTCTTGTGCAGAACCTTATCACAGAAGAAAGACATGGATTTCCAGGTTAGGCTTTATGTTTTCTTAGACTTCACAAGTACAATATATAGAGTCCAATCATTAGTTGCTTTCTTCTTCAAAAGGATAGGCACAGATAATGAATTAACATATGGCTTACCATCTTGACTGTTCAAATGTCTTTGCTTATTATTCTCTACCAATATAAAGACTGAAGGATGGACCAATTATGAAAGCAAAATAGAAGATATGCCTGCAGATATGTTGTTCTTAAGAATTCACAAGCAAAGCATCCAAGCCCCAAAAGTACATTTCCTGTAGTAGTACTACAAAATGTATGACCACCAAGTTGGTTGAATCATGTCACTGAAATCAACAGTTACCCCTTAGTACTGCACAGACATTAATGTATCTGCAAAAATTAACAATACAAGATAGTATGGACAGCATAGTTCTACATGGAATAAAATCCGTTTATCAAAATCGCAGTAGTTTACAGGAAAATCATGTGATTACAAGGAGAAACCTAGCTTATGTACTTTTCATCCAACACCTCCTCATGTATGCAACAAATTCTGTTCTGAAGGATGAAAGCAATGTCGCTATGTGGTACAACAGGAACTCTTCAGGATATACAGGCAAACATTACAAGAGATAACTATACATCTAAAATAATTTGACTGCTACAGAGAGCTATTTAGTTTCTTCTGCAGGGGCCCTATGATAGACAATTGATGTATCTGAACTTACAGGATTAGCATGATACTGCCCATAGAATGCATAAATACCAACCATAATGATGCTCAGAACAACAAATCTGACCCAGGCTTCATAATGTAACTGCAAAGAAATTGGAAGGGAAATTAACTTATGGTACCAAGTAATTATCATACTTATAGTTTGAGTGTTCGATATAATAAAATAATGGCATGCAAACCTGGGCAAACAGAAAAATGTTGAGAAAAATGCATATAGCTGGCATAATAGGAACTCCAGGACAAGAAAAACCAGGTGGATCTGTATAAATCTGCACCATTCGGGGGTAAAAGAAAGGTGAGTGGAAAAATACATCATACAGACAATAGATAAATAAGAAGAAGATGCGCTGATATGCATTGATAATTTTATAGCCCACCGGCTATGGTCTTTCATGAACAAAAGTACTCAAGATCAACCAAAATGAATCACTTTTGACACTATGCTGGCATGCGATTGACATAACCCCAGAACACAACAGTAAACTCAGATGTCGGTTAAAAATTGAGGCAGCGTAGGTGACCTCACTGGTACTCCGAAAGACGTTCTTACTTGAGTATATCAAGCATTAGCTATAACTAACCAACCTTAAATTACTTGCGCCTTTTAAACCTGGATCTGAGGTCAAACTGGTCTAATGACTAGGTCATGGTCTTATTGAACCAAAGCCAACAAAGGACTATCAAAAAGGAAAATGAATTGTTACTCATTTTGACCGGTCCATTGGCAGACTGCGGTTTCACACTAAGTGGACCGCATGTAAAATGTGTTCAGGTTGCTCCTGCCTGGACCTAACAGCAATGAAAGTCAATCCCCTAAAAGAAATAAATAACATGACTTTCTTGTCTGATACGGGTAAAAATCACAGGCAAATTAACAAGGTTTTAGTAATCATAAGAGGTCCGGAACAGGCTAGCTCTAAGTAGCCTAACTGTTCTAGATAGAAATCATTCTATTCCTAGAAGCATTACAAGTAGACAAGTCATGGTTATCACTATTTTCAGTGCTCATCAATCACTCTTGACATAAACAACTATCCTTCTATGATTTCTTTAATAAAATTAAAAGATATTTGACAATTTGATTTGTGGTCAATTTGCTATCAATTACTTACCTGCCAGAAGTGAAGAGCAAGAGCAGCAAGGATTGCGATAACTGCAGCTACAATGACAAAAATAAATGAAGCACCAAAACGGAAAATGCAACCACTAGCAAAACCACAACAGGCTATTGTTACGAGGCAAATGATTCCTTCTCCTCTCTTTGAAATCCACCTAGTAGAAAACCTACTTGTATTCTTATCCTTCCAGCGGAGAGTTATCACACATGCTGAAACAACAGAATAGCCCGTCTGAAACAAACCAGTAGAATTGTATCATTTGCACATGATAAAGTTCTAAAATACCAGAGACACTGAAAACATTATCTAATCATGCAAAAGATACACTCCCAAAAAATGAACTTTATGCATCTACTAACATAGCCATCACATCATTTATGCCTTTGACTTTGATGTCAATTCCTTTTGTTTCAGTCTACAGTGTCATGTGCTTTATTATTACTCACGTGCTTTATATTACATAAAAGCACTAAAGTAATAGATTCCCAGAATATGCAGCCAGCTTTATAAGAAAAGGCAGTTTATGAAGCTCAATAAATACACACAGGCGAACTGTGCAATAACTTACCAGTGAACCAACAGAGAGAATATGTGAGAGTACATGTATATTTAAGAGCCCAGCCAACACCATAGCAATAATACCAGCCCAGATTTGCGAATAAATGGGGGTATGCCGAGTTGGATGCACTTTAGAAAAAATTGATGGAAGCAAGCCATCCCTTCCAATCCCAAGATACAGTCGTGACTAATACAAAACATTTATCTATAATTAGTTATTATGCATATAACATGAGTAACGTAGTTGCATATAAGTGATTGCCATTTACCTGAACGTAAAGCCCAACCAGAAGGGTGGTAGTCAGTCCAGCAACAGCACCAAAGCTGATTAGGACAGCTACAAAATTTAGGCCCTTGGATTTAAAAGCTTCAGCCAAAGGAGCATCTTCTCCAAGAAATTGGTAAGGGACCATTCCAGTAATCACCAAGCAAACACCAACATATAATACAACACAGACGAGAAGGCTCCCCATTATGCCTAATGGTAAGTCCCGCTAAACATGATATTCAAAAAGTAGAGATATATTACTAGAAAGCTATTAAAATAAAACCTACATCAGCTTTGGCTAAAGCAGAACAAAAAGAATCAATTGGATTCTATATACACAAACCTGTGGTCTCCTAGATTCTTCAGCAGAATTAGCAACTGCATCAAATCCAACATATGCAAAGAATACAACAGTTGCTCCAGTCAGTATTGCTCCAAAACCATTTGGAGCAAAAGGCGTCCAATTTGAAACATCCACCTTAAAAGCTCCAACAATGATGACAACAAAAACAATGGCTACCTGCAATAAATTCACCTTTAATGAACCAAAGGAATCTTAACTTTCACATAATTGAAATCATCAATTAACATAAGCTAAAGTGCTCATCCAATTGCCTCCTCATTCAACTCCTCCCCCTCCCCCGCCTGCCCAATTGGACCCAAAATTCCAGAAGGGTTGGATACCAATGCAAAAATGGAAAACAGCACTTAAAGCTATCATGACATAAACACAGGAAGGGATTGCTCAGTCACATGCCAGTATCAATATCATAATTGAAAGTTAAATCCAGCATGTGCAAAAGCATGCTTGCAACCACCTCTTCAATGTCAAAATATGCACACCATAAGCTAGAAGCTAGAGACTAGAAGCAGATATAACACTGTTGGTGCATGTAGCAAGACCAACAGCGCTATTATACAACACAGTTTTATAAAGACAAAGTCTATATATCTATCTTTTGCCTTGAGTTTTTAATCAATTCAAGAAGAACCCAGAAATTCAAATATTTAAGTCCCCAGGTGAAAATATAAATTCTGGTTAGTCATGATTGATATCATCACTAACTGGATATTTATCTAAAGCTTCAGTCCCACACTCTCCTCAAGTTTCACGCACCCCTCAACTATCATCATAGAAATGTTATCCTTCTTAAAATCTCAGCTTGTAGTTAACTAATAGTGAAGTTACTGATATTGAATGTACTTAGATCGAGGAACTTTGGGGTTTTTTCCATTTAAAGTGCAGACGTTATATGGAACACCACATACATGAACTTCACCTTCGAAGTATCAAGTTCAAGGTAAAAAATTTTGTAATCCACAGGTATTCATTTTGAAGAGAAAAAAGATGGCAGTGACGCCATTCCACAATAAAGACATTAGGGAGGTATGTTTTGGTTACTCAATTATATAAATCTAATTGTAGAAAGAAAATTACTGACCCTATATTGCTCGTTTCTATTGTTTAAAACAAGAAGATGAAGATGAAGTTTTAAGGGATAACCTTTGTGACCGTCATGACAGAGTTTACAATAGAAGATTCTCCTACGCCCCAGCATAGGACTATAGTCAGAAGTACTAGCAGAATCGGAGCAAGCACATTTATAGATAATACTCCAGAAATATCTTGACCATGCCCCACCCAGGCAGGGATATTATCTCTGAGAGATGGAATGAGCTCAAGTAATGAAACTACATAACCTGCCAAGCTACGGGCTATACTGGCTGCACCAATGTGGTAGTCAAGCATCAATTGACCAAACACGAGAAATGCAGTCAGCTCATTGAAAGCTGTGTAGGTGTATAAGTAAGCTCCTCCAACAACTGCAGGAAATCGAGAAGCTAGCTCAGCATAACAGAGTGCATTAAGCACACAAGATGCTCCAGCAATAATGAAGCTAATTGTGACCCCTGTGAGAAAGAAGTGAAAAACAGCCATCAATAAGCTAATTGTGACCCCTGTACTCATCAGTTAAGTCAGCTCCAATCAAGCAGTGAGATCTGCTACATCAAATATAAAGCCTGTTATGATAGGACATAGACACCACTACAAAAGCCCAAGCGTTATAACAAAACTCAGAATTGAAGTCCACCACCCATCATGCAAAACGATCCCACAGCAAAACTAGGTGAAGCTATTAATCAGATTGTGTTGAAGCTATAAACCTTCTTAACCACATAATTGGCTCAACTATATCCAATTCACATTAAAATTAGCTCGTCAGGGACTTCATTTCAATGCTTGAACTTCATGCTAAGAGCCACAGTTGCAAGGTAATTAAGCTCCACTTATTGTCAAAAACTTTATACTTTTATGCATTAAAAAGGTCCAAAGAAATCTTTCAAATAAAAAACAGACGTATTGAAAGATAGCCTTTTCATGCCAACGATATAAATAAGGCCTTTTAACTATTAAAGCATGAAAATAAGCCAAAATTTGAAGTGCAGCTCCATTTCTTGATTCGAAGCATGTATGAGGACCAAAGTAAATCACTCACAAATGACTTGAGCCCAATTTAACCTGCCAACACCCTTTAAAATTACATGTGAAGAAAAAATGCAAACAGTGCGGAAACATAACCTCGCAAATGACGTCAAAGCGCTATATATACTCATGTACTAGTACCCACTAGCAAATTGCCAGATTTAGATTTACGAAACGCTATTGTATTCAAATCTAGTTCGACTTTTTCAGGAGATTAAGATCGCGTTTTAACTTGACTTGATTATATGTGTCAGCCGAAAGCAAACTTTATCGAGCTTAGCTCCTATCCCTCACTAGCTTCATTAATTTATATGTAACTTTCAGGCTTTATGCTTATCCAACTGATCTTGGACTAATATCTTTTTGGTATTTGCTTCGACTTTCATGGCCAACATCAATACAAAAATACCAATAAATTTGAGGAAGGCGAGACAACTAAGTAGAGTAGTGTACGGTATAATTGAATTCGAACTGACCGGGGCCAGCGTCGCGAGCAACTGTGCCGGTGATGACGAAGATGCCGGCACCAATGGAGGCGCCAATGCCTAGGAGAATCATGTCAAAGAGGCTGAGACGACGGATGAGGCCTTGGCCAGAGTTTGTACGAACGGAAGTCTCCGACGACGGCGGAGCCAGAGGTTTGGCTCTGAGAGCCGATGAGCAGAAGTGACCCAAGCATGACATCGGCGATGAGGAAGATGATGAAAGATCATTGCTGCTCATATTCTGAATGAATAATCCCAAGTTTGGTGGAAAGATTCAGAGAACAGCAAAATGAGAGGGACCTTTGCCACTTTTGCATCAAATTTGTACATTTATAGTACGTTACTTGCGCGAAAAAAAGTTTTTTCTTTTTTTTCCCCTTTTACTTTTTGACCAAAAAATGAGTAAAATTAGAAAAAAAAAAATGAAAAACAGGTTGTCGGCGATTTTTGCCACGCTTTTGTCGCAAACCATTTTGACTTGTGTGCTGTGATTCCATGGCGCATCCCATGTTCAGGATGCACCCAGTCCTTTTTATTTGTACCATTCCATTGTAATTAGGGATAATTTCAGAAACCTCCTAACAATTTCACTAGTCTCCTTTGAAGTTTGTAAAATTATACAAACCTCCCTTGAGGTTAAGATTTTGATAACAAAGTTGTCCAATTAAAAAAAGTAATATTAAAAAAGTACTTTAAGGAGAGAGATGAAACTTTTATTCCATAAATTACAAAAATCATAACAAACATTATGTTAAAAGAGATGTTTAGTTTATTTTGTTGAATCTTGTAATCATTAGTGTAGTTTTGTTACTTATCTGTGCTGTCTAATTTATTAAATCTGAACTTTTTGAGTGGTAAAACGTGTGTATTAATTGTTTCTAATTTTTAATTATTTTTAGTTTTTTACTAATACGACTTGTGTACATGCATAAGAGGTATTTATGGAATAAAATTTTCATTTCTCTCCTTAAACTACTTTTTTAATGTTACTTTTTTTAATTGGACAAAATTTGTTATCAAAATCTTAACCTCATGGGAGGTTTGTGTAATTTTATAAATTTTAGAGGAGGCTAGTTAAATTATTAGAAACCTCATGAGAGATTTCTGAAATTATCCCTTGTAATTATTAGGGCACGATCAATGGGTTCATTTCATTGGTGTGGTTTTTGGTTTTTGTATAAAATTTTAATGTATAATTTGTAAAAAAAAAAAAAAAAAGGAAAAATCGTCCAAAACGTCCCTCAGATTTTGTAAAATAACTTTTTTCATCCCTCACTTTTAAAAGTGTAATTTTATATCTCTTACATATTTACATCGGTCAAATTTAGTCCCTAACTAAGTTTCTGATCATTGTTTGGCCGGAATCCATCACGTGCAAGGCACGCGATCATTTTTTAAGGGTAAATTTGTCAAATTATATTTTACATAATCTAATCTATAGTCCTCCACATTTTATAAAACAAATTTTTTCGTCCCTCACATTTTATAAAATTATTTTTTCATCCCTCACATTTTACAAAATGAATTTCTCCATCTCTCACATTTCAAAAAATGAATATTTCCATCCCTCACTAATTATGTGTGTGAGGGAAATCCTAAATATATATATGTGTATGTGTATGTGTGTGTGAATACATTTTGTTTAAACACATATATATGTCTATTTGATTTTGCTTAATAATACGAATAGTATAAATATATGTATGTGTCTATTTGATTTCATTTAACAATAAGAATACTATATATTATACGTGATCATTTGATTTCATCTGGTATTAGCTAGTAAAAAATCTTGCATTCATTGTAAAGTTGGCCAATAAAGTTATTTTCGGTCAAAATACAATAAGAATATGCAAATTAAGATTCTATTAGTAAATATTAGCCATAATCATACAAAAAGAGAAGATAACCCACAAGTTGGGCCCAATTACATACATGTGTTTATGCTATTATTATTAAGCAAAATCAAATAGACATATACATGTGTTTAAAAAAATGTATTAACACATAATTAGTGAGAAATGAAAATTTCATTTTTTGAAATGTGAGGGATGGATAAATTCATTTTGTGAAATGTGAGGGATGAAAAAAATTATTTTATAAAATGTGAGGAACGAAAAAATTTATTTTATAAAATGTGGAGGGCTATAGATCAGATTATGTAGAATATAATTTGACAAATTTACCCTTCAAAAATGATCACGTGCCTTGCACATGATGGGTTCCGGCTAAAAAATGATCGGAAATCTAGTTAGGAACTAAATTTTACCGATGTTCATATGTAAGAGATATAAAATTACACTTTTAAAAGTGAGGGACGAAAAAAGTTATTTTACAAAATATGAGGAACGTTTTGGACGATTTTCCCAAAAAAAAATTTCCATTTTAATGGTATATATTTTTGAGTGTTTGTGTAAAATTTAGTGTAACTTACTGATTATGGATATGATATATACAAGGGTTAATCACATTTTATCCCTTTAAAAAATACTTCATTTTTCAGTTTACCCCCTAATCTTTAATTTTGCTCACTTAACCCCCTTTAAGACAAAATTGCCCTTGCATTATTTTGACTTTTCATTTACCTTGTTTTCCTTTCTTTTATTTATTTTTCTCCTTCTTCTTTATTTAATTCTTCCTCTTTCCCGCAAAAATCTTCACCTTAATGATTGAAATTAAAAAAGAAGAATTGCAGAGATCTATCTTATCTTTAAATGATTAAAAAAAATTCAAATAACTTTTCTAAAATACAATTTTTTTAGCCTTTCAATTCTTTTAATTTTGGGTTTTCCTCTTCCTTTCTAGTTTCTCATTTTATTCTTAAAAAAATATCATAAGATGAAATTGTTTTCCTTTCTTTTATTTTTTTTTCTCTTTCTTCTCTCTTTCATCCTTCCCAATAGAAATTTCATTTCAACGAAATTTTTGTTTTGAGTTTGTAATTGCAGATTTCTAGGTGAAGGTTTAAAAGACATCAAAAACTAATTTTGATTTTTTGTATGATGCCACGTGTCATAAATTTCAATTGATGATTATTAATCAGGTCACAATTTCATCTTAAGATATTTTCTTGGGAATAAAATGAGAAACTAGAAAGGAAAGACGAAAACCTAAAATTAAAAGAATTGAAAGACTAAAAAAATTGTATTTTACGAAAGTGATTTGAATATATTTTTAATCATTTAATGAGAAGATAGATCTCTGCAATTCTTCTTTTTCAATTTCAATCATTAAGGTGAAGATTTTTGTGGGAAAGAAGAAGAATTAAATAAAGAAGAAAGAGAAAAAGAAATAAAAGAAAGGAAAATAAGGTAAATGAAAAGTCAAAATAATGCAAGGGCAATTTTGTCCTAAATGGGGTTAAGTGAGCAAAATTAAAGGTTAGAGGGTAAACTGAAAAATGAGGTATTCTTTAAAGGGATAAAATATGATTAACCCTATATACAAATACACCAAATACAAGTGAATTTTAGGCCAAGGAACCTATAATGGAAAGTTGGTTTTATTTTCTATTGGTGGAATAAGCAAAACTTATATGTTCTGTTTAGTACAACTTGTGTTAATAATGAGACGTGTTTATGGCACCAATGTTTTTATCCAAATGTCACATGATAGTGAACAATTTATCAATTTACTTACAGATTATGAAAATTTCAGTTTTAGAAATCAACTTAAAAATGAATATTCATGGGTGGGTTAAGTCTACGTAGCTTCATGTTAAATTTACACATTTTTGCATTCATTACACATGAATAGACTTTACTCTTAGAAATTTGCTCAATGGTTTTTATAGTTTCATATTAAATTTACACCCATTTGCGTTCATTAGACATGAATGGACTTTCAGAAATTTGATCAATGGTTTTCATAGTATTGGTACGTAACCTTTGGCGTAATGAAAAAGGGAACACTAAAAACGAAATCTTAAAAGAAAAAGGTCAACACCTTATAAGGATGACAGCAGGTTGGATACCTTCAAAAATTTCTTTTACCAAACCCTAATTCACATATAGAAGAATTTTACCAAACCTTATAGGGTTTTAATTCTCATTACCAAACCCTCTCATTAGTGGATTCGGATTACTTATCGGACACCCCTTATCCACTAAGTTTAACCGTCCAAAAAAGGAAAACTAACATTTACCAAACTAAAATCAATACATACATCATATTAAATTGACACATTATATTGAGTTTTAAAGTATTGTAAACCCATAGAACTTTTGCATGGAACAAAATCAATTTTTAATGAAGAGTTAAATCAACATTCTTCATATGTGTGTGTGTATTGAGTATTGGGGTTTTAGAATTTTTTTACCAAACCCTATTAGGTTATCTGTTGGTAATTTCTCATCAAGACCAAATCATAATGAAAAACCCATTGGTTGTGTAAATTAGGTTAATTATCGAGTTGGATACCCACAGGTATTGGGTTTTACCTTACCCGTTATCGTCCCTAATACCCTAGTTTCCATTTTTTAAAATTTTATTTCCTTTTTCTTGTTCGTCTTGTTAAAAAATGCTTAAGTTGCTGTAAATTTGTTCTCTACTCGTCCATAGACCCGTCAATTGTGACATCTGAATTAGATTTTAATAAGTCCATATTCGACTTATCTAATTAGTAGCAGTTTTGGATGTTGCCGTTAGAAGAAAAAAAAATAGTAACAATTTTGGGTTTCATGACATAAGTTTCAAGTTAATAAATGTGAAACTTATATTTGGCTCACAAAGCATTCGAATTTTGAGTCTAATTCGGATTTAGCCGAAATTCACTTATTACTCCTTAATTTTTTTTAATGTAATTACGATAACTATTAAGTTGTAAAGCTAATTTAACATCCACAACACTAAAACTATACATGAACTGGTAGCAGTCTATTTCAATAATAATTATATCTAATTCATTCAAAGTACTTGACAATAGTAATAAAATATGATTTTCAAAGGTTGGAACTTCTCCATAGCCTTTGTCAATTTATTCTTACTAATATTTGTCCACTCCCTTTATTAACAGTGCCCATTTTTTAATAGAACGACAACATGTGAATCTAAATAGAAGCAAACAAATTGATTTGTCTCATGAGTCATATAAGAACCTACAGGAAAGAAGAAAATATACCAAGCAATGATGGTGATATTTCAAGTAAAGATTAAACTAGTAAAGTGTACAAAATACATGATTTGTCATTGAAACCACCAACGTTTGCTTTGTGAAGGTGGAGATTGGAGATTATAGAGACCAACAATCATGGAGGTGGAGCAGAGATTGGAAAGGTAGAGGCTGCTGTGACTGTGGGTGAGGGGGGAAACCATAGGGATTAAA